AAAGGCAAATAAATAATAATAGACACTATTAGATAGCGTTTATAGAGTGCACACAACCTTTGATTTACAGCTAAAGAATAAGAAAGATTTGATGTTATATTGAATACAGAAGTCTTGTGTTTAGTGTATATTTGATTAGTAAGTATTGGGAGAATGTTTGGACCCCAACAGCACTATAGCACGCAATCTATGAGTTTATAATAAAATGGTTTGAGTGAAGAATGTTATGGGATATGATATGAGAGGTATTTTTGTTTTGTTTTCAAAAGTTTGACATTATATTAAAATAACAAATATTTGACACAAAAAACTAAGAAAAGTTAATAACAAAGAAATGTATAGATTGTGAGAGAAGTATCGATTGTTGATTTAAGCTCTGATCCAAATTATAGCCTTTAAATATGATTAATGAGATTCAATGAGTTTGACAATATTTGCCGCTTTTGCTTCTGCTGTTTGTTTTAATAGCAATTGCCTGATAATAGTGCCCAACATGTACTACATGTAGGCTTACTGTCCAATTGATTGATTGTCTTCGCACACCTTTTTTTCTCACATCTCATACATAAGTCCTAAAACTCTTTCCTCATTTGAAGTGAAGATGAAATCGAGAAAATACTCCAAAATATTATTTGAGCCCTTATTGTACGGCAAAGTTTTTTTTTTTGATTAAAGATAAATGCGTTTGAAGGGAGTGTCTAGACTGGGGGCAGTTGGGGGGCACTGCGGGGCACATCATATATTGAGCTCTCATAAGTCGGGCTTCAAACAGATTTTGCCGACTTTGCTATGCCTTACGGGAACTGAAGGTAAGAAAACATGTGAGACTCCCAACAGCTAAAGAATGCCAATTTTGACACCTTTTATATTGGTATAGAAGAGACTGCTTGGCGTTGTAGCAGTTGTATCACCACAAGCACTACCAACACTACCATCACTACCAGGTGCACAATCCGACCCAATCTTCACAACAGCCCCACAACACTATCCCATATATCGGCCCATTTAAGACTAACACCACTTGAGCCAAACGCACAGCCAATTAACTATCGATTGACAATAACTTATATGTTTTGTGCGTTTTCTTAACAAACAATCGCTTAAAACATTTTAAAAGTCAAACCGTAATCAAAATTGATGTCAAATTTTCACACCAAACGAAATAAGACAGAAAGTGAGTGAAGAAATAAATTGCGAGACAAATAAAGGCAGTTATGGCTCATGGGATGCACAGGTGAGAGAAGAAGAGCACATTTTAATTGATATTTTGCTATTTTTTCACGTGAGTTCATTGGACTTAATTTGTTCTGTAGGTGTGTTTACTTAGAGCTGAGTTTCGCCACACTTTTGTTTGTATGAGAAGAACTTCTTCATGCAATCAATGCCGAGCTTTCATTACATCACAATATATTGCATTCAATGTATTGTCGATTCAATTCACTGACTCTCACATCTACTGTATAAATGTTGAGACAAACTCTAAACATTATTATTATGATTATTGTTTCGCATTTACTTTCGTAAGAGAGAGAGAGAGAGAGAGAGAGAGAGAGAGACTCGCTTCTCAACTAAACAGAATGTTAAGTTTACAATTCGTTTCTCAATAATATTGTTTTGTGAGACAATTGTCTGGCAAAAGGCGTGAAAAATTAATTGAGATCTCACTAATCATTTTGTTAGTCTCTCTCTCTCTCTCTCTCTCTCTCTCTCTCTCTCTCTCTCTCTCTCTCTCTCC